TTAAGTTAAGTTAATCAACTAGGGATGTTTTCATTGGTGATATGAGTTAAAAATGTTCCCTATCACCTGTACCTGTAGTGCGTATTTGTAACATAATTAAACATAATGTTATAGCTGCAAAAGTATATGAGAGAGTGTAGTCAGCGAATTTACTTAGTAATGTCTGTTACCCAGAAATATCTATCAAAAAGTTAGCTATCATTAGCCACCATGAGCTATTGGTCATAACAGACCAAGTAAGGCTGTAGCAGCAAAAATCCTGAATGTATTGAACTGAGTAAGAGTGCATTTTATTTCTTATAAATTCAACTTTTGATTTGTGAGAGGATTGTGTTATTTCCTATTTCAAAGATGTAACTTTTTGATTTAGTTTTAAAACATTGAAAGCATTTTATTTAACCTAGCATCTGTCTAAATGTCAGTCTGTTGCACACCGTTAAACCTATAAACATAAACATGTCCTATTATAAAATAGAGGGCACAAAAATACAAAAGTAATGCAATAACAAGCTTTGTTATTGTGAAATCTGCACCACTACTGTTTAATCTAAGCGGCTGCAGTGTTCACAGCTTTGATGCATAATACAGTAGGGACTTCCATGCTGATGAGCTGACTCAGTTATTTTGTACAATTGAGGCGCAGATTCTTTTGATGTCACATGATGCATAAAAGGCAGCGCGCCAGTGAGAAGAACAACAGAAATCAAATAGCGTGACCATGAGCGGAAAGGTAATGAAGGCTGCAGATCAGTGCACCAGCCAGTGCAGGAGACAGACACTAACTGATGCATACAAGCTTAATCATAATGTATACTGTAATATATTGTACCAAAATACTACAGCACAACTACTGCCATGCAATACAGTGTGATTTGCATTAAGGGGGTATCTTATGATAATCACAGAATTCACTTGAACATGTAGCTCTGGTTGTTTTCTAATGTTGGACCCAAACACAATCTGTGTCTTTCTCTCTAGATTATCTTCTTCGAGGGGAGAAACTTCCAGGGCCGCTCGTATGAGTGCATCAGTGACTGCTCTGAGATCGCCTCTCACCTGAGCCGCTGCAGCTCCTGCAGGGTGGAGAGCGGGACCTTCATGGTCTACGACCAGCCCAACTTCACGGGCCAGCAGTACCTCCTGACCACGGGAGAGTACCCCGAGTATCAGAACACCATCGGCTTCAATGACTGCATCCAGTCCTGCCGCGTTGTCCCTGTGGTAAATATATGCACACTATCACCAACCGAAGAGAGACAAGGGCAGTCAGTGATGTAAAGGGATAGTCTGAGGAGAAATATGTTTGGTTGCTGTCTTACCTGGAATCAGATGAGAATGCTGAGATCAATTTCCCCTGTGTGCATCCAGTAGTGATATTTCCAGGAGATGTCTTGGAGAAACTGAACACGCCTTTCAAGAACCCCAAAGCTTGACATCATCCTAGTTTTTTTTATGAGCTTTCAGTTGTATTTTAAAATCTTGATATCTCCATGACAACTTGCAAAATCCACTAAGAAAATAAACTACTGTTTCCAAGAAGGATGAGAATGACATAAAGCTGTTTCGAACGTTGTATCTTGTTAGCCAGTTAGCAGTACATCTGAGGGTTTTGTTAACACCGGAGCAAACGCTGCATTTTGTAAAGTAGACAGTTTTTGAGATGTAGTGGAAATTTAGAGACTGAGCTGATATTTAGCTTCTGATCTGACATAGCAAACAAGCACATTCCTCAACAGAGTTAACTTTTTTGGTACTTAATGTGTTAACAACCCAGCAGCTAGGTACTACTTTAAACAGCACCATGACTCTTGTCAAATCCATGCATATATTTCATTCCATTTGACATTTTGTTCTTTAACAGCACAAGGGGCCCTTTAAGCTGAGGATCTACGAAAAAGCCAACTTTGAAGGGCAGATGCATGAACTGACCGACGACTGCGACTCCATCCAGGATCACTATCACATGTCTGACATGCAGTCCTGCAACGTGATGGAAGGGTACTGGTTGATGTTTGAGCAGCCCAACTACGAGGGCAGGATGTTTTATCTGAGACCAGGAAAGTACAAGAACCTCAAAGAGATCAGCAGTGATGATGTGAGATTCAATTCAATCAGACGCATCGCAGAAACTGTCTAATGATTTATATTTAGCTGATTTTGCAGATGCGTTGTTTTATGAATATTAACAAGTTGTCGAAGTGAGAGGCAAAAAGACGGAGCCTTGTTTTTATCCTGAAACTGTGATTTGTGCACTGTTTGCATGTATTTCCAGTTGTACTGTGCAATCCAGCCACAATGAATTTACCTCTTTAACTGTGTGATGCGCAAAATAAAATTATTTGCTGCATATTGTGTGAATTATTTCTGAGCACAGATGCGATAATTCATTGTTTTGCCACATGAGTGGTACTTAGTATTACAGATAAACATACAGTGGGGTCCAAACATCTGAATCCACTAATAAGAATGGCTAAAGATACTGTTGTTTTCCTTAAACTTGGCTAAAATGCAAAAGTAGAGGATGATATCTGTGCAAGGCAACAAAAACAGAAACTTAAGAATAATGAGAAATAATAATGAAAAATAAAATGCCAACATTTTCCAGTATTTCTTCATTTATGTTAAAGGTTCATTTGTGTAACATACATTCGTAGAAATGGAATATAATATTCAGGTATGTTTTTATTTGCGTATAATGCTATAGGGAGTATAGGAATCAGGTTTTTGTTACCTTAAAATGAGCCGTTATTATCTAAAGATGGGCATCAGCCATGTTTCCTTCACACTGCACAGCCTGTTCTCATTCCCAGGTTGTCAAATGCAGACGCGAGTGGTGCTTATTAGCTGCAATATCTATCTATTATTTGCAACTTCACCACTAGATTCCACTAAATCCTACACACTGGTCATTTAAACCAATTACAAATTAGGCATGTGATACTTTTAAGATGTAATAGGTTACTGAATACAGTTAGAAATGTCAGAAGTAATGTAACTATTCATCAAAGTAATATACCTTATTAAATTGATTACTTTTCTAACAAATGTCAAACAATAAATCTGAAAAGCGGCCACCCTCCTTGACGTAGCTGGCTGATCACGGGCATGGCAGACTCAGGTTGCCGAACTAGAGCAATGCACATTGATTAGATGGGCAGACGAGAGAACCAATCAAAAACACAAAAATTTGAGCGCATACTGCACAATGAAAAGATTGGTCCCAACAGCTTTGCTGACCCAAGTTGTCCCAAAATATTCCACATGAAACATTTAATACGTTTTCTGTCTTGTGCAGTCACAATAAATAGTCAAACAAACAAAATGCAAACATAAATATTTCCTGCAGCACAACTGTGTCGCTAGCTGGCCGCAAACAGTTGCTTGTAGCGTGAACTGCCTTCTTGTCTGAAACAAGTGAAGACATTTAATAAGGACTTAGTAGCCAATAAGGACCATTAGTATTTATAGGGAATTTTATGACTTTATTACAGAGGTGACTGTAGACAGGAAACAGATGTGAACCTAGGCCACCCCCAAATATTATAATCTTGTACTGTATGTTGACTATAAGTAAATTCTTTATATCACACTGTAGATAAGATAAGATAATTCCTTTA